TCGTAGGTAATTAGTATTCGATCATTGGTACATTCGAAGGATTGCTCTTATATCCTGGGACTACCGAGTAAGCAATGCTATCGTTAGGAAATGAGCACTAGGTAGGGATGGCAGATCAATAGATGAAGTAGTGAAGCTTCATCAGTTGAAGTGGTTGGGACATCTGTTACGTGTGTCCAACCACCGACTCTCTCGACGAGCTATGTTTTGTAGTGCAGGAGAAGGTTGGAAGAAAGCTAGGGGCGGCCAGACCAAAACATGGCAGAAATTCATAAAGTCACTGACAAGTGGACTGAGTCATGTTGGTAGATGTAGGCTACCTGGTTGGGGTCCGCGAGATGATAGTGACCGATGATTAGCGACCCTGAATGACATGGCTCAAAACCGTTTGCAATGGCTCAGGTTCACTCATTGTTTGTGTGCTCACAAATCCTAAGCTTCTGAATTTCTCGTTACCTCTATCTTTCTCTCTCTAAAGTTATCTCACTGAATCACACTTCTTGAGTAATTTCTTTGAATCCTAATCTTCTCCATTACCGCTAATACTTCTACTACATCTACCACTGAGATTCGAAGTGACGATTGCTTCTTTTTTCTAGTGTGGTATGGAAACCTGAGCTGATGCATGTACGCACGAAGTATTATGTTATTGTTGAATGACTTATGAACTAACTTTTCTATCCCGAGAAGTAGTATCTAACGTTAGTGTCATTAAATTGGTAGTGCCGGGATACATGAAAGGCTGTTTTCAGAAACCAACAAACACTGCATATTTGCCCTTAAGGCTTGTCTTTCATAACAGCTGCATAGATTTAAGAAGTCTACTAGACCTTTCTAAGACAGTTGAATGTTCTAAATCAGGTGATAATGGTAAGCGTCAAGCGATCTTAGGATATGTCTGAACATGAGAAAGAATCGAAATTCCACCGGTTTTCATGTTCAACTAATCCACCTACCATTCTTGGTATCAGCTATTATTGCCTAACGCGAAACACTTGTCATGCATATATCAAAATAGAATAACATGAATTTCACACCACACCTCATATTTGATTCAGATAGCTTCATAATTAACCTTGAAGATTAAGGACAAGTCTTGAAATAAGCATCATTAAATACATAAACCAAACTAACCTTCGTTTCCTTTCTAGACTCAGATGTTTTTGTCAACTTGCTTACACCTTGCGATATGTGTAAGCGCTGAATTACTGCATAGTGATTCAAGACAGCGTGTGCATCACAGCTAGAATCGTAGGATACATTTCGCCTGATATAATCTGACAGATAGCGTTTTTCCATCTTAAGTAGTTAATTGTCGTAGCTAATAAGGTATTCCCTAAAGCGTTCTATGAAGCACGAACAATCGTAGGAATACTTCATTTATACGCTGACGGGGTTACAAACGCTTTAGTGCATCATGCAATTAGTTTCTTTGGTGAACTTTGCGATACTGCTGTCATACCTACAATGCTTACGAAGTATAAGGTAGTCTTTGCCCTATCACCTGCGTAATGAATGGACGATTGAAACACGACCCAGTTTTAAAACATTAATTACTTTCGATGATTCGCTTGTCCATAATGGAATCAGAATGATTTTCACAAAGTTAGTCGACAAAAAATGTCTGAATCTACGTGTAGTCAAGCCAAATCGAGAGAGCACAAACTCATATGTGTGGATATCAAGGTATTTTACTGAATGACCTTACAGATACACGCTTTAAGACCTTTCGAACTACACCCTAAGAGTGTGGATAGATTCCTTCATTTCTGTCATGTTTTTATGCTTCGTGATATCAATAGGTTTCACACTTATGTGCCAACTTGGATACACTTTTCTAAACCGTTCAATGTTTGATTAGGATAATGTTATCAGTGCAAGAGATATGTCGATTTAACGTGACATACTTCATACCAGAAAAAAGAACTTATAAAGTAAGAAGAGAAACTAACACCGATAGCAACGGAAGATAAAGTATGGTTCTGGTAAAATCACAGAACGAAAAATATGGGGTAGTATGGATATCATGATTGGATAGATGTCACTAGAATTTCCCAGTCACAGATTAGGATTATCTGATTCTCGATCACCCAAACGTAGCTGCTACCTAACATGGGGGTCGAGCTTGCCTATTAGGTATGTGACTGAATACATTGATTCCTACTCATTGCATCTTCTGTATGTAACATTTTTAATAATCTTGCTATCTTTAACACTACAGTAAGATACCGCATTGTTTCTTGGCGAATGACAAATCAGTTCTATATAGACCTCTGCCTTACTTAAGATTTTTGAACGACATGGCTTATAATCGTTTGCAATGGCGCAACCTGACGGCAGCTGCTACTTAGACATGGTGGTCAGGTTTGAGTATCGTAGGACGAGAGGCTCTATTTTATAGTGCCTCTCGTTCTGTAGCACTTGTTTAGACTCAGATCATGCCCTAGTGTCAGCGCGTATTTGTTTGCGACTTGCTGAACGTAGGAAAGACATCGCCAGAGCTATGAATATATTTCAGGAGCATCTAGAAAAACATTTAGGCGACCGTGTGATTTCCATCTAGAGGCAGGTTGGAATGATATCAGAAAGCTGTGGAAACAGCCGTGATATCTGCTAGTAAGGTAAAACATAAGGCTGTGGATATTAGTAGCGTCTACCGAACTGATGGATGCTCGAAAACTTATCCCACCTGGCTCTGAACATGATGAGGAACGAAGTCAGCTTAGGCGCAGGCCGATAAAAAGCCTACGCAACGACCGCGAACAGTGGTGTGTGGCGAAAGCAAAAGCGATGGAAAAAGCAGCGGCAATAGGCAACAGTAGGCAACTATTTAGACTCATCAAGGAAACCGGTGTTAAAAATCAATCTGTTAGCGAAACTATCTCAGAAAAGGATGGTTGTATCATTCATTCTCGGTAAAGCAGATTGGATTGATGGGCAGAACACTTTAGGGATCAGTACAACTGGCCTTCAGCCACACTTCGGTTACCCAGGATTCCGTCATTCTGAATGGCAAATCGACTTAAGTCCTCCTAGTATTTATGAAGTTGAGAAAGTGGTAGGAAATCTAAAGCCAGAGCGAGCAGCAGGACCTGATACATTGATGCATAACATTTTTAAGGATGGTGGTCCAGTTTTAACAGGTAGATTAACCGAGATCTTAGGTAGAATCTGGGAACTGGATGTAATCGCATCCGACTCGTCTCAATCACTAACTGTCCCGATTTACAAGAAAAGACAAAAGTCTTCTTGTGACAATCACAGGGGAATAAGTCTAACTAATATAATTTCTAAATTGTTAGCCTCGATTATCCTTAGACGCCTAACTAGAGCTCGCGAAGAACAGACTCGAGAAATCCAGGCTGGTTTTCGGCCTGTACGTGGCTGTATAGACCACGTTTTCACAATATAACGACAGGTGCTACAACACAAACACATTTAGGAGTCCGACAATAGTCGTCTTCCTGGACCTCAAGGCGGCATTTGACTCTGCTGATCGTGCGGTTCTGTGGCAATGTCTGTCATTGAAAGGAGTACCAGAGAAGTACATCAAAATTATAGAAGTTCTCTACTCGAACACCACTGGTCGAGTGAGAGCTTATGGCGAACTGTCTTCGGAATTCTTTACTTCAAGTGGTATCCATCAAGGATGTCTACTCTCTCTATTCTTGTTTAACTTTGTCGTAGACATGCTTTTGGAGTTAACATTATCCTTGTCAGATTTTTCAGTAGACCTACCAGGAGGATCGCTTACTGACCTAGAATATGCCGATGACATAGTTCTATTGGGTGAAGACGCTGAAAAGAAGAAAATAATTCTGACTACCCTAAGCAACAATGCAAGCATTTTTGGGATGCAGTTCTCACCCTCAAAATGCAAAATGTTGCTTCAGGATCGGGTTTCGTTCGTACCTGATCTAGTGATAGGGAGTGAACCCGTTTAGAGTGTTGACAGCTTCACTTATCTCGGCAGTATTATCAGTGCTGTTTGCCTGGTGACTGACGAAATCTCAGCACGGATATCGAAAGCTCAATTGGCTTTTGCAAATTTACGCCACTTATAGCGTAGACGAGATATCCGTTTGCGGACCAAAGGACGAGTATACTGTGAAGTAGTTCACTCCGTCCTACTTTATAGCTATGAAACATGGCCGGTAAGAGTAGAAGATATTCGTAGGTAATTAGTATTCGATCATTGGTACATTCGAAGGATTGCTCTTATATCCTGGGACTACCGAGTAAGCAATGCTATCGTTAGGAAACGAGCACTAGGTAGGGATGGCAGATCAATAGATGAAGTAGTGAAGCTTCATCAGCTGAAGTGGTTGCGACATCTGTTACGTGTGTCCAACCACCGACTCTCTCGACGAGCTATGTTTTGTAGTGCAGGAGAAGGTTGGAAGAAAGCTAGGGGCGGCCAGACCAAAACATGGCAGAAATTCATAAAGTCACTGACAAGTGGACTGAGTCATGTTGGTAGATGTAGGCTACCTGGTTGGGGTCCGCGAGATGATAGTGACCGATGATTAGCGACCCTGAATGACATGGCTCAAAACCGTTTGCAATGGCTCAGGTTCACTCATTGTTTGTGTTCTCACAAATCCTAAGCTTCTGAATTTCTCGTTACCTCTATCTTTCTCTCTCTAAAGTTATCTCACTGAATCACACTTCTTGAGTAATTTCTTTGAATCCTAATCTTCTCCATTACCGCTAATACTTCTACTACATCTACCACTGAGATTCGAAGTGACGATTGCTTCTTTTTTCTAGTGTGGTATGGCAACCTGAATTTATTGTCGTACGTACGAATTTCTACGTTTGAATGACTGACTCTTGACCAGTAAAACCGCACTCCTTACAAATCTAAAACCGCTTATTAACTATTGGGTTTATATACTGGTGATAATTTGATAAGACCCGAGAAAGATTTTATTTTAGAAACCGAAAGTATTTAATTACCTTGGGTGAAAACTGAATACTGGAAAAACTACACTACTGACCTGTTTAAAGCACTCCAACTTTGCTGGGCGACCGTTTGTTTTCTTGAGATAGTCGTCCCAAGTAAAACTATTAGAATTGTCGGCTGAAACGTGACAACCCATAGCACACTAAATAACGATGAGTAACTTGTGTGCTCCAAAAACCAATATTACAGCAATGTTAGGTTTTCGTCTGTTTGTTTGTTATAGCTATCCAACGAACGTGTATGTCTTAAGGCAAAATAACGGCTTATTTAAAAACCTGAAAAAGAGAACAGGGATTCATGAGGTAACTCAGTGTGGTCTACAATGTGAGTGTCACGAACACGTGGAACAGCTTTAAGCGAAAAAAAAGAGTTTATTACCTTCCATACATTGAGCAACCGTTACTAATAGTGCAGCAGAATCGAGAGGACGCTAACAGTACCTCACAAGTTTAATCGTAAGTAGTTTACTGCCACATGATTGAGGTCGGTGAGTCGTTTTAGAAGATATTTTGAGTCATTTTCTTGATTTTGTTTTATTATCATCAATACTATGCTGATTAGATCTCTTTATTCATGTGAGATTTGTCCTGCTGTGGTGGTAGAGCAAAATTAGCTAACGGATAATCGATGATGAGTGAAAAGCAATAACTTTAAAATAAATATACACCTGATCGTCATAAAATTCCTGTCTGGGCGTATATTTATGGTTTGGGTGGAAGATTTACAGACCAACAATAGTCGGGACAATTGGATGAGACTCAGAGAATTTTCTAGGAGACAAATATAGATTTCGTGTCTTAACCATACCAACTAGAAACATTGAACAGAAAGTGGGCTTAAAGACTTATAACGGAAACTAAGCGAGGAAATAACTTGTAAATGAGTTACCAACAGTCGATTAGAATTTTAATTTCCTGCGTAACAAATCACGACTGATTTTTGTTTTAGGAATACAGTTCATGGCATTTTTGAGAGGAATTAGTGGAGCAACAGCCGAGAAACATCTACAGTAATAACTTATACTTGGCCCGATAATGAAAACAATCATGATCCGCCCAGATAACGACAAGTATGAAAGCGGAAGTAGTAGACTAATTAAAAGTAGCGTATGGGCTATGACAGAATGTCAAATTCAAAGGCTAACAAAGCCACAAGTTATTCAACCTACCTCGTAGAATATCAGTTAGCACACATATTTCGTCCGCAGTTGAAAACGGACGTATATTTGAAAATACATAACCTCAAAGAAATAGTAGTGTTTAACAAGAGAAAATAAAGGGTTGGTAATATCAACCACGAATTTACCTACCCAAGTACAGAAAGTCAGCAAGGTTAAACTTCAAACTTGGCTCTTACATAACTGTTGTATTGTTTCGAATAAAGCTAAAACAGTTTCCAATAAAATATCCAGTAGTCCAAACCAAAGTGGCTCTCTTGTATTCCAGTATTGTTTTTGAAATAGCAAACAAATAAAAACCTAGATCCCTTTGGATAAGATAAACTAGGGGACACCATAACATAAGCGTAGAAAGACGAGCTACAAATGAGAGTAGACCAACAAAAGAACAAAAAAGAAGCAATAGACATCAGCGGTGAAAGCGAATGCAGAAGTCGAATGCGCAGAAGCAAGTGAACAAGTGAAGGGAAAGAAGGACACCTGATCAAGATACCGAAGAAAGGCGATCTCAGCAAGTGTGAGAACTACAGAAGCATCACGCTTCTTCTTTTAGTACCTGTGAAAGTCTTCAACAGGGTGTTGTTAAAGAGAATGAAGGTATTGGTTGACACCCGACTCCGAGATCAAGGATCAATTATGCACCGACCAAATGGTGAGCGAAAATATGCCTCATTGTAGAATAATCGGTTGAATGAAACTTACAACTATACAGAAACTTGTTTGATCAAGAGAAAGCACTCGATATCGTGGACAAGACGGCAATATGGAAACTTCAACGACACTATCGAGTGCCTGAGAAGACAGTCAATATCATACGGAATTCTTATAATGGATTAAACTGCAAAGTCGTACTTTGAGGACAGCTCACAGACCCGATACAGGTGTCCGACTAGGTTTCTCACCCCCAACCTTTCTTTTTCTCTTGGCGATCAACTGGATTACGAACACATCGACATCTAGAGGGAAGCAAGCTATACAGTGGACCGCTAGGACGAACCTGGACGATTTGTACCTCGCAAACGATCTGACTCTTCTATCACACACACAACAACAAATGCAAGAAAAGACGATCAGTGTAGCAGCAGCCTCAGCAGCAGTAGGTCTCAACATAAATAAAGGGAAAAGTAAGATTGTGCGATACAACACAACATGCGTCAACCGACCGTTGATGGAGATGCCATGGAAGATGTAGAAATCTAAACATATCCGAGCAGCATCATCGTTAATCAAGGTGAATCGGATGCAGATGTGGGGGCGCGGATAGGCAAAGAAAGGGTTGCATTTCTACAACTCGACAACATCTGAAACTCCAAACAAATATCAATCAACACCAAAATAAGCATTTGCAGTACTACTGTCAAGACAGTTCTGCTGTATGATGCAGAAACTTAGAGAACTACAAGAGACATATTCCAGAAGATACACATGATTACTGACAGATTTGTAAGCATGGTACTGAGGATTCGTCGGCCAGACACCATCATCAATAATCAAGAATCTTATGAATATAGTGTAGAATCCATTTTGAAGGAGTCATTTTTGGGAAAATCCCTCCATGCACATATTTGTGTTATGATCTTCCTGACTCCTTCTGTTCAATATTTTGGTACTCTGTTTAGTCCCTATTTGGGATGTTCATATTTGTATATTGTTATAATTCCTATTTTCTGTACGTTTATTGGGGTTTATATGTTTCTTTCTAAACTGTAAATGTGTTCTTTTAATTGATACTTAATATGGCTACAGCCATATCGGATTTGATACCTTTGCGGTAACTTCGTATTCTCGACTGCAAGGACGCATTCTTCCAGAATTTGAAACTCATTGTGTTAATTTCAGATCGGAACAGTATAATATTGTTTAGGACCGTTCTTACCCAGAAACTTATATTGTGAATTTGGACTGGGCAAGGCGCGTATATTACTCATTCGGATTCTGAAGTCAAGGTTCATTGAAGTGAAATTTTCTATATATAGGAAATTCAAAATAATTAAATTGTTAGAAATATTTCTGATTTACAGAAAGGCCAGTTTAAAACATTCATAGCAAACCGGATTTCGACTATCCACAGTCTTACAAAGGCGGACCAATGGAGATTCGTACCTTCTAAGGAAAACACATCAGATTTTGTATCCAGAGGAGCCAAGTTCAGCATTGATGATGTCAAGGTATGGGAGGAGGGACCACATTTTTTGAAGAATTCAAAGGAGTTTTGGCCTGATGCGGATGTACAAGGTCCTGAACCCCATCTCTTGGAATTAAAGAAGGTAATGTCCACGCATGTAATGGTTGGAGAATCCACTGTTGATCTACTTTTTAATTATTATTCAGATTGGACTAGATTACTTAAGGCTGTTGCATGGTTGATCCGATTTAAGCAATATCTATTAATAATGTATTCTGGCAGAAATGATCTGTCTCTACAGGTGAGTATACTCAGAGTTGATGAACTAGAGTTAGCTTGTTTAGATTTAATTCGATATATCCAAAGCATAGTATTTCGGAAAGAGATTGAAATGTTGTCGTCTGATACCATTAGCAAAGTGAAAATAACAAATTCACCCTTACGAACCTTAAATCCAATAATTATGGACGGATTATTGTGTATCGGTGGCCTGCTTCAAATTAGTTCCTGGGCCGAGTCGAGGAAGCATCCTATAATATTACCATCGAAGCATACAATTACAGATTTGATTCTACGGTATTACCATGTTTTGGAGGGACATGTCGGAGCTACACAGGTAATGGCAACGGTTCGAGAAAAAGATTTTCGGTGCTGAGGGGTGGTGTAGCCATGAGGAGAGTGATAAAGGATTGTGTTTATTGCAAAAGGAGGAACGCCCATCAGATTAAACAACTAATGGCACCATTATCTGCGATCAGGATAGAAGGTGGTTGTAGAATCTTTTTTGAATGTTTTGTTTTTTGGAAAATCCCTCCATGTATATATATTTGTGTTATGATATGACTGACTCTTTCTGTTGACATTTTGGTATTTTATTTGATTCCATTTTGAGATTTTATCATTGTATATTGTTATTATTTCTATATTTTGTACTTATATTGAAGTTTTTATGTTTGCTTCTGAACTGTACACATGTTGTTTAAATTTGATATATAATATGGCTACAGCCACATTTTTGGATTTGATATCGTCGCAGTATACTAGCTTCAACTCGGATACTCATCAGAGTAATTTCGAATTGGAAGACATAACAATTGTTAGGTAAACGTTTGTATTTCCATTTCTTTTATATAAATAGACCACTTTCTCCTAGAATTATTGTGTTTTGATATTCGACTAAGGGAAGGTGCGTTCAACATACGTCTATTGGAATCGAATTGAACTACTACGGTAGAAAATCCAACTACAGTCTGACAATTGAGAAGAACAAGCCTACTGCAGTCTGATTATTAAGAAGAATAAGGAAGCATTAGGAATTTTAATCGTTTACAATATTAAACTTCTTGGAAGAAGAACTTTGGATTACTTATCGTATTTTTTGTGATCGAACTGTATTTTGGAAAACCATTTTTTGGTCCTTTTGGATTTTTATTGAGGATTTACCGGTGGAATTTCTATATTTTGTATTTGTTATTTATCTTCCGTTGAACTCCAATTAAACATGAGCAACCGCAAGAAAACAAACACGAATAGGGTGGAAGAGCATGAAGAATCCCGTAATACTAGGCAAGTCGTTATTGATTCTTGTTTAATGGGTTCCCTTTCTACCCGTGATGATGTTATGTTTGATACTTATTATTGTAAGTCACCCTTAGAATGCATTAAGGAACAAAATTTGGGTGAGAATTCTAAGGTACCAGAAAAGGATCAGATGCTTAGGACACCGATAGTAGGCCTAGAATTACCTAAGGTTGAACTTTTATTCTTTGACGGGAAACCCCGCGACTACTTTAGATTCATTAAGCAAATTGAATCGTTTATAGAACCTAGAGTAAAGGATGATAATTTGCGTTTATTATATTTAATTCACTACTGTAAAGGAAAAGCAAGAAATGCGATTGAAGGTTGTCTTATAATGGATCCACAAGTGGGATATAAGAGAGCTAAGGCTATTTTAAAGCAGCTCTTTGGACAGTCGCATGTGATAGCCCGTGAAACCTTAGAGGACTTGTTTAGAACCGGGAATGCAGATTACAATGATCCTGAACAATTGACGAATTTGGCGATCAAACTGCGGAATGTTGCTCTAACCTTAGAACAGTTAAATTGTACAACGGAACTTCATTCCCTGGTTACTTTAGAACGAATAGTTAGGCTCTTACCTCATCGAATGCAAGCCCAGTGGGCAGAGCTGGGAATCAAGTGGGACGAAGAGGAAAGAGAACCTAATTTCAATGAATTGACGGATTTTATTATGTCTCGTGCTAAGATAGCTAGTAGTAGGTTCGGAAGATTAGCTTATCGGGCTAAAACAGGACATAATACGGAAGCTATTAGTGATCTGCGTGCGAGACATGAGGATTCTTCGTTTGCACCTAACTCACACCCGGAATATAAGAGAGTTGTCAATTATATCAGGAAAGTATACGCTGTTGAAGGCCGAGTATGTGACCGTGATGATGTAAAACCCCTTGATGCGTATCCTAGTAAGAAGCCGGTTTGTGTAACAGATAAGATGGCTTCTTTAAGTATGGAAAAGAAAGAAAAAGGTGCAAAGTGTAGGCATCAAGATGGATCCGAGGTGTGTGATGATGAAAGCCTCTTAACTGCTCGAAAAGCCAGGAACGGTTATTTGGATTCGAGTAAACAGAGGTTAGTGAGTTCAGTAAATATGAATAATGCCAAGGCAGAATTGGCTGGACGGAATAAAGCCTATGTTCGGAACCCTTCACTTAGGGTAAATTATAGAACGGGACCTAGAGTTGATTCTAGGACAACAAGTGTAAATAGTGACACGGCACTTCATGTTGCTGAGCAATCAGGATGTCTGCAGGCTACTATATCTAGTTCTATAGCGCATCATGATATTAAAGCGGAAGATATTAGCAGCTCAGCGCGTCCTGGTGATGGTTGTTTACGGTCAACGGACGGACAGTTGTATACTGGTCCAAGTAGTCATAGCAACATTGATAGTGTTATTGAAAGTGGTAGCATAGCTTTAAAGCCTGCATGCCAACTATCTTGCAACTTGTCATTAACTATGAATAGTCAGAA